GCTCCAGCTTGTCACCCCTGTCACCGAGATCGTCCCGCGGGCGCATGTCTAGCGCAGTTGGAGGGTGTGGGTGTCGGGGTTAAACAGGGTGTCGGGGAGGGAGGGGGCAGGCAGGAGTGTGGGGGCGGGGGTCATATGAATACTGACAGTCTGGAGTCATTCGCACAGTACACAACCACAGCTGCCGAGCCCAGCTACGCCATAACTCTGTATGCTAACTGGACTAACTGCCACCACACCGCCGCTGCTGTCTGCCCGCAGTGCTCTCGTCTCAGCGAGTTAACGACTCCCATGTCACCCTAACGTCGGCTCCCATGTCACCCTCACGTCGGCTCCCATGTCACCCTCACGTCGGCTCCCATGTCACCCTCACGTCGGCTCCCATGTCACCCTCACGCCGGCTCCCATGTCACCCTCATGTCGGCACCCATGTCACCCTCACGTCGGCACCCATGTCACCCTCACGTCGGTTCCCATGTCACCCTCACGTCGGCTCCCATGTCACCCTCACGTCGGCTCCCATGTCACCCTCACGTCGGCACCCATGTCACCCTCACGTCGGCTCCCATGTCACCCTCACGCCGGCTCCCATGTCACCCTCACGCCGGCTCCCATGTCACCCTCACGTCGGCTCCCATGTCACCCTCACGCCGGCTCCCATGTCACCCTCACGCCGGCTCCCATGTCACCCTCACGCCGGCTCCCATGTCACCCTCACGCCGGCTCCCATGTCACCCTTACGCCGGCTCCCATGTCACCCTCACGTCGGCTCCCATGTCACCCTCACGCCGGCTCCCATGTCACCCTCACGCCGGCTCCCATGTCACCCTCACGCCGGCTCCCATGTCACCCTCACGCCGGCTCCCATGTCACCCTTACGCCGGCTCCCATGTCACCCTCACGTCGGCTCCCATGTCACCCTCACGCGGCTCCCATGTCACCCTCACGCCGGCTCCCATGTCACCCTCACGTCGGCACCCATGTCACCCTCACGCCGGCTCCCATGTCACCCTCACGTCGGCTCCCATGTCACCCTCACGTCGGTTCCCATGTCACCCTCACGCCGGCTCCCATGTCACCCTCACGCCGGCTCCCATGTCACCCTCACGTCGGCACCCATGTCACCCTCACGTCGGCTCCCATGTCACCCTCACGCCGGCTCCCATGTCACCCTCACGTCGGCACCCATGCAAATCTCGAGATTTTATCCGTCTTAATACCCATTTATGGAGATAGTTTCATCGTCTGCGGATTATTTATAAGTCGAGAAATCTGTCTGAAATAACATACGTCTATTCAAGAGAAAAACAAGTTTGCAAATCCCTTAGAGGAGCATCAGGCGATACCGGATCCCGCCTAAAAGGGATTGACCGCTTCTCATTTGTTTTAGAGGCTTCTGGAGGAGCCATAGAGGGCTGTGGTGGGTGGCTCCACCCTGGTGATGGGGTCGATTAGTGTCGAGAGCCTCACAACTTGCCTCACGAGCCGAGTGTTCCTGGTATTCTAATGCCGTTGTGGTGCCTTGTCTTACATGCGATACTGATCTTAATGGCCAGCGTCAGGCACTATTGATATTTCATTCTCTCTCGCACCAATCTCCGCCGACCTGCTCCAGCAGAGGCTGAGGTACAGGAGGACGATGGTGATGGTGGTGATGGTGATGGTGGTGATGGTGCTGGTGGTGGTGATGGTGCTGGTGGTGGTGATGGAGACTAGACCCTGTGAGCGGGGGACCCGGAAATACCACAGCACCATACATCAGCAGCAAACATCAACATGATTCCATCAGAAGCAACGCAAACCTTCTGAACACCCAAGAATCAATCAGTTACTTGAGAATTAAACTTCCTTTGACCTAAATGGTGACCAAATAAAGAACTGTCATTCATGAGACATAATATGTACCATAAACTGTATATCTCCCCATGGCTTATTTTGTTATTAACCTCGTACTGTATATACTACTTCTGGAAGACCAGCGCTGGAATATGCTCCCCTTGTGGGAGCATATTCCACTCTGGATCATAGGGACATAATTTAAGGTATACCTGAAACAGGAAACAAGTGCATACCCATCTTGAGGTTGAGAAAGCAGACCATTTCTCATAAACCCATCTCCATGCAGACCTTTGAGCCCCTCCCCCCTCTGCCCTCTCTCAGTGAGCCCCTCCCCCCTCTCTCAGCGGGCCAGAGCGCCCCCTCCCCCCTCTCTCAGTGAGCCCTCCCCCCTCTCTCAGCGGGCCAGAGAGCCCTCCCCCCTCTCTCAGTGAGCCCCTCCCCCTCTCTCAGCGGGCCAGAGCGCCCCCCTCCCCCTCTCTCAGTGAGCCCCTCCCCCCTCTCTCAGCGGGCCAGAGAGCCCCTCCCCCTCTCTCAGTGAGCCCCTCCCCCATCTCTCAGCGGGCCAGAGCGCCCCCCTCCCCCCTCTCTCAGTGAGCCCCTCCCCCCTCTCTCAGCGGGCCAGAGAGCCCCTCCCCCCTCTCTCAGCGGGCCAGAGCGCCCC